GAATGCACAGGGGTGTCTTTTCTCTTTGAAGAACTCAACCTGGCTCTTTTCTTGGCAAAAATATACAGGGACCACCTTCTCTTCTTCTCACTTGCAAAGTACTTTCCCCCTCGTGTGGAGACCCTGGATTTCAGATCTCCAGTGTAAGAGAAGAACCCCAATTCCAAGCACCCTGAAACCAGGCTCTATGATGAGGATACAATATGATCTCAGCGATCACAGGCACCTGCCTTGAATTTGGGAAACAGGTGAACGAGTTTGGCAGAGGAGGCCTTGCTGGCCTTGGGGAGGAGAAAAGGCGGGAAGAGTGAAACTGTATAGAACAAATTAAGATAAGCAAAGACATCCCCACGGTGGCACAAATACTGGGGAACACAGAACAGACCTCACAGCTGCGCGCCAGTGAGGGAGGAAAGGGTAGGGGTGCTTCTGTGCTCTGAGGGGGTCACGAAGAGGAAGAGGAAGTAAGGCTACACATTGGCTTTTTGCTTTGAGATCTTGGGACCAGCTGATAAAGAGACAAATTTTCTACTCCCCTCTGGAAAACCATGTGATTTTCACAAAGACTGTCTAGTAAGATTAGTTCTAAGACCACAAGCCCTTGCGCATGCACAATGGGACACTCCTGTAACTGCAGTGTGGCTGGGAAGCCGCTGTCATGCTGCCTGCAAATACATTTCTTAGCAGCAGTCAGTGGAGCACAGGAGCCATGATCACTTCCACCATGGCGCCTACACTGAGACACCAAGATGCAGAGATGTGTCTTCTATTCAGGCCCTATGATTAGACTTGGGAAGCGGTTAGGCCAGTGATTTTCAGCTGAGGGCAACGTGCCCCCACGGGGCATTTGGCAATGTCTGGAGATACTTTCATCGTCATGACTAGGGGTTGCTACTGGCTCCTACAGGTAGGAGCCAAGGATGCTCCTCAATATCCTAAAATGCACAGCCCCTCCACCTCAACAAAGAAGTATGTGGTCAACAGTGCTGAGGCTGATAAACTCTGGGCTAGGGGAAGAAACAGTGAAGGAAAGAAGGGACT